CCCACCCTTCATGGCCCCGCTTGTGTGTCTGTCGTTGCAGCGGGCATGGGGAACCAGGTGGAGAAGCTGACCCATCTGAACTACAAGGAAGTTCCCACAGCCGACCCGACAGGTATGGACAGGGATGAAGGGCCCAGGATCGGGGTCTCCTACATCTTTTCAAATGATGATGATGAGCTGGAACAGCAGCAGGATTCGGTGCACGACCTTGGGGGTGAGAATCCTGCCCTGCAGCCCTACGATCCCCAGCTGCACGAGGTGGAGTGCTCAGTCTATTACCGGGATGAGTGTATTTACCAGAAGAGCTTTTCTGAGGAGGACACGCTGCCGGAGGAGGGTGATGAAGGAGGCGGGGGGCATCTGAGCACCTACACCCCGGAGAACCTGCTGAATAGGTGCAAACCGGGTGACCTGGTGGAGTTTGTATGCCAGGCCCAGTATCCACACTGGGTGGTCTATGTCGGGGATTTTCAAGTGGTGCACCTGCATAGGCTGGAGGTGGTGAACAGCTTCCTCACTGATGCCAGCCAGGGCAGACGGGGCCGCATTGCCAACCAGCTGTACCGCTACAAACCCCTCAGCCCGGCCGTGGTGGTGCGCAATGCCCTGGAGCAGGTGGGTTGCAAGGACCGAGACTTGAGCTGGAGAAACTCTGAGTGTTTCGCTGCCTGGTGCCGGTACGGCAAGCGGGAGTTTAAAATCGGCGGGGAGCTGCGCATAGGCAAGCAGCCCTACCGATTGCAGATCCGGCTGGGTGACAAGCGCAGCCACACGCTGGAGTTTCAGAGCCTGGAGGATCTGATTATGGAGAAGAGGAGAAATGACCAGATTGGTAGGGCTGCTGTGATCCAGGAGCTCTCCAGCCACCTGCAGGCTGCGGAGGAGGAGGATGACGAGGAGGAAGACCACCACCACCACCATCATCATCATCATCCAGGTGCTCGGACTGCTGTGGAGTAGCAGCCTCAGCACCACCATGCTGCTTAGCCTGGGTGATGGGGATTAAAACTGAAGGCTGCGAAATTGAGCTGTTATAAGCCTTTTGGGCCGCTTCGGTGCAGCTTCATTCCAATCACATGTGAAAGGAAGGGGGAAAGCTGATTAAGTGTCTGTGCTTTAGTGCTTAACTCCTTCAGTGCTTGATGATAAAACCACTGACTTATTTGTAGAGGAAGTGCTGTGCAACAGCTGTATTTCCTCCTCGCATGCTCCTTCCCCTCGCCCGCTTTGTGCATAGCCTTTTCCTCAACCATCTGCCAGTAGGCCTGACCCTACAAGATGCTAAATGCCTTTGACATCTACTTATCAGCAGAAGTTAAGAGTATTTAATACTATTAAGAAGGAACCACCAACTTTCAGGACACGGCCATGTAGCTCTGAGCACATGATTAGTTTGGTAGCTGAGAAGCGTGAGGATATTGTTTTCCCATCTCTTCCCCTGTTTCTCGTCAGTTGTGGCTCTTGTTGGTATTGCAACAAGCTGCTTGCTTAGCTGATGCAAGGCTTCATGGATTATTAGCCAGCCCCCCACAAGGTGTAAGGAAGAAATCTGCGCTAATCAAACCCAAATGGGTTTGATGTGCCTGCTGCCTCCTTAATTGATAGGAACTTGCAAGTGGGCTGGGGGACCTCCTCCTTTGCTATCAGTGTGTGGCTTTGAGGACAGATGTATTTATTGCTGACTGTGCTATCAGTGTGTGGCTTTGAGGACAGAAGATGTATTTATTGCTGACTGGTCCCTGGGGAGGAGGAAGTTTTGCAACCCTGATTAAGGAGTCTGCACACTGGTGTGTGCTGGGACTCTTACAGGTAGAGACCGACCTGTACCAGTGCTCGTTACAGGGCTACCTGCCGTCCCCTAAAGCAAATGGCAAAGCTCCCAATTGCATCGGTCGTACACATCAAGGCAGTAGAAGCAGGTTGCTCATGTGCAAGAGTATGTCTCAAGTAAGCTGTCACTCGAGAGGGTGGCCTCTTGTCTGGGTGCTCCTGGCTGTGAGCGTGTCACAGGTTCTGCACCACACTAAACACAGCTGTGATGGGAAGTGATGGGAAGGGAGCACAGGCTGGAAAGCATTACAGGCAGGGGGGTTTGGGTGTTCCTTTTTTTCCTTCCTTACCACAAAGCGATTTCCTCTTCATTAGGGTTTTCATGTTTCTTTTTTTTTTTTTTTTCCTAATTTTTATGGTATGCAGCTGAGCTATAGCATTAGAGAAAAGGAGAAGAGGACATGTCTCCAAAGTTGTTGCACAAGTCCCTCGTTAAACAGGAGGGAAGGGAGAGCGTGGTACTGCCCACCTTGAATATTCCCTGAACTTGTTTTCAACTCTTGAACTGGTCTCCTGCACAGGCAACGCTGTCAGATCTTTGTCCTGGGATCTGAAGTGTGTGAGCAAATACTGATTTGGAGGCAGTTTCTCATGCAAAATTCCTTCCCTTAAAGCACAATAGTGATGAAGTGAATGTGAAGATAAGCTTGAGTTCATTTAAATAATGGAAACTAACAGTGTGATGTGAACTTGAAGCATAGTTAATACAGTCTTCCCCGCAGTTGTTTACAGTTATACCACAAATAGCAAAGTACTCTGTGTCCTTTCCGCCCCTGGGACGGGAGCAAAGTTTGTCATTTAAGAATAGGTAGATACCAGCTTTTGATCAGTTAAGAGTATATGAAGCAACTTTGCCAATATGATCTAAATAGATTGTGGTGTTGCATTTTCTGCCTAAAATACACAAGCTAGGAAAAAAAAAATCTGTGAAAGACTACTTCATCCTCACTTCAGGAGGAAAAATAACTCTTAGGGTTATGCAAATACACCATATACAGTTTCCTTAATGACTCCCATGCTCTTATTTTGGGCTGTGAAATACCTAAATCCAAAGAAGAGTTTAACACCAAGGTCCCTTAGAATGCTATAGCTCAGGTGTTTGCACTAAGTTGTTTTTTTGTTTTTTTTTCCCTCCTCCAATATGCAATTGAGTTATACTCAAGTTACTGTGGTTGCCAAGCAGATGTGCAACCTTGCTTTGAGAGCAAAATAACTACCCGTATCTAAGTGTAATAGGGTTAATATGTGGATGACTGCACACAGGTTTTATACAACTGCTAGTAACCACTAAAAGCTGAAATGATCACTGAAATAGTCTGAAAAAGAGTGAAGGAGAATCTCTCTGTTGTACTGACTGATACGAAACAACTGAGGTTACCTAGACCATGAGTAAATGTCTGGCTGTGGTTTCTTTTGTACTGAAACCTTGTACATAACAAAGTTTATTTCACTGTGTAATATAGGTATGTAAAATAATATTTTCCTACAGATATTTTTGGAATTTAAAAAAAAAAAAATCTCTTCATAACCTTGCATTTGAAAGTAAGTTGTTATGCATATTATTTTCCAGTCCTCTGAATGGGTTTATTTTTCATTAGTGATCTAAAGTATATTCTAGGTCATAAAGTATAGAAACTGGTATAAATGTCAAATATTATGTATCTACGGGGTACTAAACAGTAAACTAGTTGTGAAAATATTTTTCCCTTGTGTCTAAAACATCAGAACTATGACACTTAGCCATTTCTCTCCTTCTGAGATACCCTGCATAGTCTAGATTTGTTTTCTGTTCTCTTTTTCACTTTTTTTTTTTTTTAAAAAAAAAGGACCAAATCTGCTTGGGAATGGAGAGCAAAGCTTCTTTGACCAATTGAAATCGTGACTTGTGCTGATCTTGGTGCTTCTCTGTACCAGTCATGCCTTTTTGGGATAAATTCCCCCAGGCATAGGGCCTTAGCAAAGAATCCCAGAGCTTGCACTGCCTTGCTAGGACAGAGAGCGAAGGGCAAGCTTGCCTCACAGCGAAGCAGAGCCTGGTGTGCGTTCTGCCATGTTACAAAACCTATATGCTCCTCTGGCACCTACTGAACACAGGTGTTCAGTATTTAAAAAGAAAACAGATATTTGGAATCCTTAAAATTCTCTGCAAGCTACGTTTTGGGAATTTATTCTGTCTCCTGCTATTCCATTTAGTGCAGAAGTAGAAGGGGGGGGGAAGGGGGCGGGGGGAAGCCTGGAATTTTTTTGTTTAGTCTGGAAGAGGGCTACCTCCATATAGGGATTTCTTATTCCAGCAGATAAAGATGCAACTGTTGCATCATTAACAGGCGGGTCCTTTTTCCTTACCTGTTGGTTAGGAAGTGTTATTTAATAGGTGCTACTAAACACCACTGCAAACATTTTGAAGCAGTCTGGTTTTAAAGCCATGGACCTGTACTGAGCTGGATGTGAGAACAGGAGTTGCTGTAGAAGGACATCACAACTGCTTAGTTTCTTGTTTTTGCTGTACTTTACTCAGTTACTGTCTGCAGATGAGGCTGAGATTTCTAGAGACTGATTTTAAAGAAAAAGATCTCCCAGGAAAACAGGCTTTTTTTTGTGTGTATGTGTCCGCTTCAAGGCTTTTGTGTAGATGACAAAAGAGAGGGGAAAAGATAAAAGTGCTCTTCTTTGCAGCTTCTTCTTTAACATGTAGAAATTCAGGTGTGATCCTTCTGCAGAACTTCTGGTTCAGCAAAGGTCCTAAGCCTACACAAAAGTTTGAAGTTGTGAGCAGACCCTACCTTAAGCCAGTTGGAAAATCAGTAAGACTATTCACGTGCTTGAAGTTAAGTGTATATTTACATTTCTTTGTGAATAAGGGCCTGGAATTTCAATCTGAGGTCTCTGGTGGAAGCATGGAGGATCTGAGGTTGCATAATCGCTGGGGGAGAACAAGTAGTGCTGTGAAAGCTGTTTCTCAAAGGGCCTCTTGTCCAAACAAGGCTTGTGGAATCCAGCCCAAACTTTGGCCCCGGTTCCCCCCTGGAAATCCAGGAGCTGCAATGATTTGGTGAGAGAGGTGTATTACACAGTAGCTGTAAACTAAGCTGATGATCGTGCTGCAGACTCTTCTCTGTATCTTTGTCTGTCTTGTCATGCTTGAACTTTCCCTTGCATTTTTAACATTTAAAGTTATAATCATTTCTTTTAAAAGCCCTCTCATTGTGCAAACACTTGATCATCTATATGAATTTACTCATTTGGGCATACCTATGGCTACTGATACGATGACTGCTGTGAATATCATTATGCATGTGTCAAGGCTGGCAAGACTAAGGCCCAGATGTGTAAATGTAGCTCCAGCTAGGAAATGTAGAGAGCAATCTTATTTCCCTGGAGTATTGGTGTGTTTGATACAAAGAATGTCTTGGAAAAGGCTTTATAGTAAAACCTACAATTATCCCTTGATTGAGTAATTTTAAAGACACAACTTAGATGTTCACCTTCCATGACAGTGAACAATGATGTAAGCTGAAGACCAGGTCAAGTTATCCTCGATTCTGTGTGAATGCAAAGTATTGATTACAGCAGCTCTCTAGAGCTCACCTGGCCAACGTAGTAGGCAGTTGCAGGGTAGGCAGGGAAAATACCCAAAAGTTAATTCAAAAACTATATTTTCTTACTTGGAAAAATATATTCTTCAGACTGAAGGACCCTAGACTATGGAAGTAAACTTTCAATTGTTTTGGATAAATGAAACCCTAGGCAAACATCTAAGTTTTGTTCACTTAAATTCAATATTCCACTCTCAGTACTAAAATAGGTAATATTATGTGATGAATATATTTCAGATTTTGAATGTAATAGTGGTTTTCTTTTTCTCTTCTCCTTTGGTTAGGCTTTACCAAAGGTCTGTCCTTGGGTGTGTAAAGTGTGTTGTTGAGTGGTCTCCCACCTGTGCTTTTCTGATAATTAACAGCACCAACCATAATTCTAGCAGCCGTGTAGGAACAAATATTTTTTTGAAAGCAAAATTTTAATTTTGTATAACAGATCAGAGACTAGTAACTAAGTAGAGGTAAGAAATACATTGTTTCCAACAGCAGTTTCTATTTGTAAGAAATCTACTGTTAATTGAGTATGTGTTG